GTGCTATTCCTTCTTCCTCTGTTCTTCGGTGTCAATACTTACCAGCCATTTTTAATCAACATGTTATGGAACTTAAATTTAAAGTGCAATATGTCATATACTTTTAAGTAACGGTAAATAAAGTTAAATTTAAAGTGCGATATGTCATATACTACTAAATAATTGACAATTTCAATACTGATCAATTGAATGATTGGAATTTTTTTTGTTATGCTCTTATCCTACACCCGGAACCCACCCGGAATTTTTTTCTCACCTATTGTCTGAAAAGCCCTAGCGTTACCAATAATCGACGGCACAGTCACGTGACCTTCCGTACCTTCCGGACCTTCCGGCCAACAAAATATTAATGTCAAAAAAAAAAATTTTACAAAAATCGAGTTTTTACAAATTTAATTATTTAAAAAATATTAATCGCATTTAATATTTATAACTGCTGCAATGCATAATAAATTAAACTGCTTTAAAAACAAGGTTGATATTTATTGAAAAATACTGAACGAATATCAAGATAGCTTATATTAAGCCTTAACCATAATATTGTGTATTTTTATTACTATCTCTCCATGTACGTGGCAACGTTTGCCTTTTTTCATGCTTTAATATGTCTGCAACTAGTCTTTCTAGCGGAATCAACTTTTCTTCCAGATTGTCAAGAAACTTTTGACGATTGTGAAAAGCCTTCGATTCATTGAGTATGCATTGTGCCTAATATAATTATATAGCATTAAAAAATATATGTTTTTTTTATAAAAGAAAAAAAAAAAATACTTCATTTAAAACTTGATATAATCGTGTATGTTGTTGTTCAGCTATGTCTTCAGAATTTTGTTCAATTATATCTTCAGAATTATCATTTACAAGAACTATTTCATTAGTACAATTGATTTGGCTATTAATCAGATATTTGTTGTTATTGTCATCAAGATTGCAAACTGCTTTTATTTCTTGCCAAGGGTTATCATCTGATGATATCAAAATTAAAGGATATCGTGAATTGCGACGGATCTAAATATATAATTTTATAGATTAATTTTTGTTATAATGTACATAGAAATATAGTAAATTTATACATACTTTAGAAAAAAATGAATGTGGTTGTTGACCAATTGGAATCACCAAATGTTTACATAAGAAAAACCGGTTTGTTGCAAAAATAAGGACATGATGCAGCATACTAAATTCTAATCGCTCATAAAATAAATTCGCGATAGTGGTTTATTATAGAAATAAATGCCATATATGAGTTTAGTGCAGTCATAAATCAAATTTTTGAGTACTTTACTTTTGAGAACTTCAACGTATTAAAAAAGGCTCAAGGATACAAGAACGAATATTTGAAGAAAAGTGACTTATATATATAAGCACGATTTTTAATTAATTTCGCATTTAATATGGACATTTAAAATTTAATTAATTTATTCTCAGAATCCGAACAGATCAGTTTTGGAAGTTTTATGTGTACTTTTTTAAATTAAAATGTGTTTTTTTTATAGCGTCTTATAAGCTGATTTGAAATGTAGATGTAATGAGAACTACTTAAATTTTGTGATCTAATAAGTGAGAACAATTTTTTTATGTAAATTATATAATTACATCATCTTAACCTAATTTATAGTGCTAAAGTGGTCAAAATGTATCTAAGAACTGATTTTATGGTATTAAAGCCTTTAAGTTTTCATTGGGCAGATATATAAAGATAAGTATATAATTGTTATACGCTACACTATAAGAATATTTTGCAAATAACTAGATTTGTTTGCAAATACAAAGCGGCGCTCTGGAACCCAACGGATCCCATTTTCCTAGTTTTAAATGTCAAAAACAATGCGTAAAATAAAAGTTTCGCTCTAAAATAAGTAGATGAAAGTTATGTTACGTAGATGTCAATGAATAAATCAGTTTATTCAGAATATAACTAATATGTTTAGTTTGAGATACATTACATTTCATTTATTTAATTTGACGTATGTTTAGTTAATAGTATTATACATTTTAGATCAGATCCGGTAGTGGTCGAGAAAAAGGTGAATTAACAATTGAATTATTTGCAAATGTCAAATGAAAGATACCACGCTCATTTTAAAATAAATTTTTGGTGCATTATAAAAGTTTTTTTTTTAGTCTTTATATTTGGCAGATCTCTACGCGATAAAATTACGTAACTTTTTTTGATGTACGGCTAATCTAATTTTATCATACAACCAAGACTTGTTAAATAATAAAATTCCTAATAGAAATCTTTTTTATTGTATTGTTCCATATGTGGTAAGCGGTCTTCGGAAGCGTTTCATCGTACACATTTTTATATTTATTAACGTACATACATACATACGTACGTATTAGAGTTTTATAACTATAGGTGCAGACTTATTTACGTCATTAGTTACGGCTCAATTGCATTCTATTTTCTAAACCGATTTTTTTTATATAGGACGTAACTATGTGATGTCATAAATCTGCATCTATACTTATAACACTAAAAAAGAAAAATACTATAAAAAATTCATTCAAACTCCTTCAGAAAACTCCGGCGCCAGTTTCCGTTGATTCTATATTAAACATACGCACAACATATGCATTCAAATCCAGTCTAATCAAATTTGACGAAAATTTTAAATATATACCAAATAATACGCCTTCTACATATATATATATTGATACATATATATGTATAATATTTCATTCATTCAAAGTTAAATTCGCTTTCAACAATTATATACATAATGGATAATAATGA